GTTGTTGTCGATCAAGTATTTGGCGCCAAAAGAACAAAATTCTTAAGAGAAAATCGTCGCGATTATTTTCTTACATCGAAAAAATGTTGTCGATGAATTAATTAAATAAATAAAAAAAAAAAATCAAGTTTTTCATGTTGAAATATTTTTTTTTGTTTGTTCGTTTGTATAAAACAAACAAACTTACGCAACAAAAATTATTATTATTATTATTTTTGAAAAAAAAAAAAAATCATAACGATTCGTTTATACAAAAAGGAATTATAAATTAAATAGAATAATGAGAGAATGACGTTTTAAAATTATTATTATTATTATTTAGTTTGTTGCAGACGACGACGACGATGTCGACAAAACCCAAAATGCCAACATAATTATCCATTTGAAACCGTCAAACTGACACTTTCATCCCTTGTCGTTTATACCCTCAATTGTGTTTTATTCAAAAATTTTACTCTTTGAGAGAATTGTTGTCTAACCACGTTTAATAAAACAATGAGAGAGATGGTGACGAGGGGGGAGGCGGGGGAGCATGGGGTGTTTGGGGTGGTGGTGGTAAATAAGAGTAAAAATAATTTATTTTTTTTTTTAGGTAGGCAGGCACAAAAACAAAATTTGACATTCGAATAAATGGATGGTTTTTAAATTAATTAACATCGTTCGAAGGGGAGAGTTAGTAGAACCAAGTATAGAAGAAACGTGGCAAAAGAATAATGAAGGAAGCATGAAACGCGCCTAAAAAAAAAGGTAAGTGGTTACAGTTTCTATCTAATATAAAAATGATGAGATCGAAGGAGTCGATTAGAGAGAGAGAGAGAGAGAGAGAGAAAAAACTTTTTTTTTTTTTTTTAAATCCGGAAGGGATGAAAACCATAGACATCATATTTTCTAAATACTTATATATTTTATCTAAGTATTTATCTGTGGTGACGCCAACAAACTCTTTAACAACAACAACAACAAACAAACAAACAAACAATCGAAAAAATTTTTTTTTTTTTATTTCTCGTTTTTAGGGTTCGTCTTTTTTTTTTTTTTAAATTCTGTTCAACTACCTGAAAATTAATTGAATGATATATAAAAAAAAAAAAACTCGATTGGAATTGTTTTTTAAGTAAAAAAGAGAAAGATAGATAGGGAGAGAGAGAAAGAAAAGGAGAGATATAATGATAAAGACTGAGAAAGAGAGATACAAAGAAGGAGGTTTAGAGAGAAAGAAAAAGATTTTAAAAAGAGGGCATAGAAAGAGAGAGAAAGAAAGAAAGATATCAAAAGGGGAGCGTAGAGAGAGAGAGAGATATTAAAGAGAGGGCATAGAGAGGAAGAGAGAGAGAATGATTGATAAGGAAAAAAAATAATTTTAAAGTTTTTATTCTTTTCAAAAAAAAAAAAAACATAAAAAAGACATTTAAAAAAAATTTAAAAAAAAAAAAACAATTATTGATTGATTTATTGATTTATCAATCGATAAATCGTTAATAATTAAATAGAAATGGAATTTCAACCCCCCCCCCCAAAAAAAAAAGTGAAAAAAATAAAAAAAGGAAACGAATTTTAAAAAAAATTTACATAAATACATTTCTTACAAATACACGACAAACTTTATTAAATTCACAAACGCGGTTTAACACAATTAAACGTGGATTTAGAAGAAAAAAAAAAATTAGAATTTTAGGGGAGAGGGGGATAAATAATAATTATAATAATAATGAAATGAATTTTGAATTTTTTTATTTGATAATGGAAAAAATAAAATAAAATATTAAAAGTTTTTTTTTTTTTGATAATCTTTTGTTGTCTTCACCGTTTAAAAAAAAAAAAAATCAAAGGAAAGAAAAGGAAATGGATGCGGAAACAAAACAGAAAGTTGTTAATAATAGAAAATAATTTTTTATCGAATCGAGGAAGAAAGTTTTACGGGGTTAAGAGAGAAGAAGGGGAGGGAGGAAGAGTTAAAAGTAAAAACATGAGTAAATAACAATTTTAAAAAAAAAATGAAAATGAAAAGTTTTATTATTATTTCGAGAAAAAGGAAAAAAGGGGGGGGGGGAAACGATTGGTTGAATTTTTTTTTTTTTTTTTTCATTATTTTCCTCATCAAATTTTATTATTATTATTATTATTATTCGAATGTGCAAATGACATTTATGCTTTGATTTTATCGATAAAAAAAAAAAGTTTGTTTTATTATTTCGAGGGATGCTGAGAGGTCGTGAGATGAGATGAGATGAGATGAAAGCGTAAAAAAAAAAGGAAATTCAAAGGAAAATAATAAAAAAAAAATTTTTTTTTTCCTTTTTCAACGGTTGAATTTTTTCGAAATAAAAAATTAATTTTTACATTTTTTGTCGTTTTTGTCGTACTACATAAATAAAAACAAAGTAATAAAATAAAAATTGTGTAAAACAAACGGGAGAGAGAAAGATGGAAAGAGAGAGAGGGGGAGAGAGAAACGAAAAATAAAAATTTGTTTTTTTTTTCCTGCCACGTCCAAATAAGGGAAAAAAGAAAAAGTTTTTTTTTAATTTTACGTAAAAGTCGTAACATTATGTTGTGTGGCGTCGTCGTATCGACGACGTTATTTTTAATTAATTTTTCGATTCTATTGACACTTTTTTTTTGTTTATTACGTATATATATTTTATTTAAACTCGTAATTTCTTCGTTCGAAATTATAATAATAATTATTATGTAACGAATTATTTATTTATTGCTTAAATCGTTTAAAACTACGAATTTCCGACATCTTTTTTTTTTGACGTCACAATCTGTCTTGGTCCCATCGCAGGTCATTTTCTTCTTCTTCGTTTTTTTTTTTTTTTTTTTTTTTTTTACACGGTCGATTTAACGACGTCGTTTGATTTTTTTTTTTTTTTCGTGTCATTAGACAAAACCCCCACACCCCCCGGGGGGTTCATCCCATTTTTTATTATTATTATTATTACGTTAGTACCAACTGATCTTATTCGAGGATTATAACCGATCTTTGTTTTGCCGTGGAAGAAGGGATGAATAGAAAATATATATCGTGTTTTTTTCGAAAACGAAAAGAATAAAATTAAATATATATGTAAGGATTTATTTATTTATCTCGCAGACATTGATTAAAATATAAATATGATTTTTTTTCTCTTTTCTCCCCCCTCCCCCTTTTCACTCGGGATACGTCCGCCATTTTTTTTTTTTTTTAATATTAAACACACGATGATGAATATGAAAAGAGAATAAAAATCATCACTCGCGCGTATGGGGTCGGTAAAAGAAAATTTTTTTTAATTTTATATACAAAGTGAAAGTTGTTTGTCGTCGCCATTTTTATTTTTTTTTTAATACCCCTTTGGTACAAACGATGATTTTGTTAACTCAGGTTGTGTGACAATAATTTACTATAAAAGGAATAAACTACATTTAATAAAAAAATTACCGTAATGAATTTCTAAGATGATGATGTTGATGATGATGGGATTTTTTTTATATTTAAAATCCATTTCGTAATAATAATAATAATAATAATAATGATGATGATGATGATGATGATGATGATAATAATTTCTTAAAAAATTACTCATTTAAATAAGTAGTAGCGCGTGGGTTCGATTTAATTTTTTTTTTTTTTTTTAGGACTTCTAGAAGATTATAGAATGTTTTAATGTGGTGGGGGTGGTGTTGGGGTGGGGGTAAATGAGAAAAAGTAGGCGTTGAAAGTGTCGAAACATCGGTTAAACGTATAAAAAATAAATAATAAAGAATTTAATTATTAAATGAATTTAAAAAAAAAAAACAAAAATTTGAAATGCGCGTCAAATGCAATTTTTCAGTCGCATATTGTTTTAATTAATTAATTTTTTTTTACATTTTTTGAAATAATAATTAAGGGGTAAATTAGAGTGCGTAAACTTTTCGTACGCACATGCGTGATAAATTTAATATGAGAAAAATGTGCGGTAAGTTTATATGACGCGAGTGCGAATGCGAAAAAAAAATCACATCAAATTTTTTTAAATTAAAAGTTTTATTAATTTTTCTTTTACCCCCCCCCTTTTTCCCCTTTCCCCGCTCCCCCCACTCTCCTTTTTTTTGTTTTATATTTGCGCGTATGTATTTAACACTTAATAATCCTTTTTTTTTTTTATCGTTTATTTTTCGTCTGTTTCGCACGTTTTTTTGAGAAGAGAAAAAAAAAGTTTTGTGTCGTAATGAATTTTCAGTTTTGAATGAAAACAAATAATTTATAACATTTTGCGACCCCCCAATAAAAAAAAAAAAGTTTAATCCAAAATTATTGTGCCTTTTCATCCCCCCTTCCCCTTCCCTTTCTGCCCCCACACCCACCTCACCCTTATTCACGTTTTAATTTTTTTTTTTCACACATGCATTTATCGTTGTCGTTTTGTTGTTGTCGCTTTTTTGTTGTTGTTTTTTGTTTTTATTTAAATTGTTATTAAATGTATTAATTTTTTTTTATTCGTTTTTTGTATTTTAAAAGGTAAATTTGTCGCAACTTTGTCGTTTTTGTCGACCGAAAAAAAAAAAAGAAAATTTAATTAAAAAAAAAACGCCCTTTACAAATATTGTCATGTAATTTAAACGCTTACAAAAATTACATTTTGTATAATTAATATTTTAAAGGGGCAATTTTTTTTTTTTTAAGCTTTCGCGGGAAATAAATAAATAATATGCGAATAATAATAATGATAATAATAATGGCAAAGTTTAAATAATGACCTGATATATTATTTATCAAAAATTTTTTTTTTAATTCGGCACATTTTTTTGTTGACTTAAGACTGACTGAGTAACTGAGTGATGACTTTTTTTTATTAAATAAAAATGCCGGAAGAGAAAGCCTAAATATGTGGGACGATGTATGATGATAATAATAATACTAGTAACAAGATGAATTTGTCAGTTTATGAAGGATTGTTGTAATAAATTAAAGTTGAATATATATATTAAAATTTAAAAAAAAAATGTCGTCGGTTGTTATTAATATATTATTAATGATTGTTTTATCAATGGATACGTGGATAACGGTTGTCACCGGTCAGGTTGTACCAGTACATACAATAATAGTAGAAGAAATTCCAAATCCTGTAAACGCAATGAGAGTAAGATCATTTGTTGTTGTTGTTTTTCGGTATTATTGTTTGTTAAACGTCGTTTTGATTCGAGACAACAAACAAAAATTAATTGACAGAATTTTTTTTTGATTTTTCTTCGTCTGCTTTCAGCCGGTTTCAAATCCTCAAAGATGCATAACACCAAATGGTGGTTTAGGACAATGTACTCACCTTTTAAGATGTCCACTACCAGAATTCAACGTTGATAAATTAAGATTTATGGATTATTTTTGCATAATCGATCGAGTGTAAGAACATAATAAAAACGATTTTTGGTTCATCGTTGTCGGATTTCCAAAACCTTGTCATTTTTCAGGTACGTCGGAGTTTGTTGTCCGGATTCGTATTTATATAAAATTTATACGGGTCAATCATTTTCTGGAAATCCAGCGGGTTATTTACCCGCGATCGGTGTCGATCTTGCACCAGTTATAGATGCCATTATAGAAGATGAGGAAAAAACGAATTCGAATCGTGAAAATGTAAACGAACCTGATAAAACGGAAGAAGGAAAACCCGAGGAAAAGGATGAGAAAAAAAAAATTGTTTTTGAAGATAGACGAGGTAAATTTAAATTAAATTTTTTTTTTATAAATAATTTTAAAAGAAAAGAAAAAAAATTTTTTTTTTTTGTTAGGTTGCGGTGTTAATCAAAACGAATATTATTCGAGAGTTGTTGGTGGTAGGCCTGCTGATCCAAAACAATGGCCTTGGATGGTTTCTTTAATTAAAAATCGTGAACATTTTTGCGGTGGCGTACTAATAACAAGCAAACACATACTAACAGCAGCACATTGTTTTAGAGGGTAAGAAATATCTATAGCTATGCCAAAATGGAGGATTCCTTTTTTTTTTTTTTTTTTAAATTCAAATTTTAGGATCAATCCGAAAAGTGTCATCGCTCGATTGGGTGAACACGATTTGACTAAAATAGGAGAAACGAGAACTCAAGATTTTCGTATATCCGATTCTAAATCTCATCCGGATTTCGATATGAATTCCTACGAAAACGATATCGCCATTTTGAAAACAGACAGACCGATAACGTTTAATTCATACGCTTGGCCCGTTTGTCTTCCACAACCCGGAGCAGATTTTGTTGACGAAGAAGCCATTGTTATAGGTAACATCTCCAGGGTTGGATTAAAAAATTAATTAATTAATTAATTGAAACGAAAACTCGAGCGTTTTTTTTTTATATTTTTTTTTAAGGTTGGGGAGCAATAGAATACGGGGGACCGACAAGTAACGTATTAATGGAAGTATCAGTACCCGTTTGGAACAATACGAAATGCGATAATGAATTCGTACAACCGATATTGGAAACAAATTTATGCGCCGGAGGACAATCCGGAAGGGATTCATGTCAGGTAAGTGAATTTTTTTTTTCCACCCTCCCCCCCCACTTCTTTGAGAAAAATCACCCCCTACCCTTTTAATTATTTTTTTAATATTAGTTACCTGGAAATTTGGTTTTCTCTCTCTAATGTTGGTATAATTAAATTAGGTTTTAATTAAACGATTTCCCTATCGTTATTAATACTTTCATTCTCATTCATTCATTCATTCATTCTATGGTATCGTTTGATGTTTCGACAGTAATTATTTTAATAAGAGCTTTTGTTTGTTTAAAATAACAAACGCGAAAAAAAAAAAATTTGTTTTGTTTTCTTTTAGCGGTTCAGGGGGGATCCCCGGTTTTTTATAATAAATAAACGGCCGGAAAAAAAAAAATTCTTATCTACGTAATTGAAAATCAGAGTGAGAGAGAGAGAGTGAGAGAGAGAGAGAGAGAGAGAGGGAGTGTTTGATAAGAATATTTTTATCCCTTATACATATATGGATTTTTATTATCAGGGTGATTCGGGTGGTCCTTTATTATATCAACTACCAAATAAAAGATGGATAACTATAGGAGTCGTTTCTTGGGGTATCAGATGTGGAGAAGACAGGCCGGCTGTTTATACAAAAGTCAGCAAATATTTAAACTGGATAATAAAAAATTCTGCACTTTAAATTCCAGCAAAGTCACGGAGACAAATAAAAATAATAATGATAATTTTGTTTCGAACCCTAATGACCGCCGATACGCGTTCGCAACATATTATTATTATTATTATTATTATTATTAATCGAGTACCGACGTCGTTAGTTTTGTGATAAGAAATTTAAAGTGTTTCTTTTTTTTTTTTTTGATAAGAGAGTCCAATGTCATTATTGGCACGTTTGAAAAAATTTGGGTTATTAAAATAAAAAAAAAAAATTTTTTTAAATGCTCCCTTTTTTTTTTTTTTAAACACGTGATCGAACCTTTGCTGTTGCTTTTGTTGTTATTGTTGTTGTTGTTGTTGTTGTTGTTGTTGCTGTCGACGATTCGAATGAGTTTTTTATTATTGTTTTCGTCGTATAAAATTTTCAGGTTGTCGTAGCTTCGTGTTTGTTCGTTTGTTCGTTCGTTCTTACTTACAATTTATTTTTTCTCACGATCGATATTTTGTTTGTCGTTTGATTGATTTTTGTTTGTTTTTAATAATAATAACAAACGATTTATAATAAAATGGATTTATGTTGGGGCAAAACTAACTTTTGGCTTTATTTTTTTTTTATCATCATCTGCTTTATTATTTTCTTATCCTGCGAAAAAAAAAATTTTTTTTTTTTACCGTCGTTGTTTGTTTGTTTGTTTGACGTCGTTTGTTTACTTTTATATTTATTTGTTATATAATAATACTTTTAAAACGGTTTCAAACACGTTTGCGTTACTTTTTTTTTAATAAAAAAAAAATTTTCTCGAATATATAAAAAATTAATTCCAGCCGGGGCCGAAAAAAAAAAAAAAAAATTTTTTTGTCGTCATATCATAACACTTTGACCCGTGACCTCTTTTTTATAACGTTTATCCGATTGATTATTATTATTATTATTATCGTTTTTCACTCGTCGGTTTTTATTTTTATTTTTTTCGTTTAAAAATAATTATTTACGTGCGTTTGGAAAAAGTTTCCAAATGAAATGAATGAAGTTAAAAGTGAGACAGTTACAGAATGAAAGAGAGAGAGAGAGAGAAAGAGAGGGAAAAGAAGAAGGAAATAAAGCAGAAGAAAAGTGAAAAAGTTGAAAATTCCTTTTAATTATAATTACGTTTAATTTAATTTACAACATTCATTTTGAAAAATTGTTGCATATTATTAATATTATTATCAACAACGCGTGTTTTCTTTTCTTAAAAAATTTTTTTTTCTCTCTCTCTCTCGCGCACACACACATTCTTACACGTGGGGGAGAAAGAGATTTTACGATAGATTTGATTAAATAAGAGGAAAAGAAAGGAAAGCTGTATATATATACCAACAGCACGGAAAATACGTTTTTCATTTCGAAAACTTTTAGAAAATTTTTTTTTGTGTTTACGCACGCGTAGGAGCGTAAGCACGAAAAGCTTCCATGTTATCAAGTTAAAGTTTTTAGTCGTGTACTCGAAGCTTCTCAATGATAACACTATCGGAGTCACAAAAAAAAATTTCATTATTATTATTATTAAATGTTTTACCTTAAAAAAAAATCGGAATAATCGTTTTGAACGAAAAAAATTTTTTTTTTTGTTTGTTTGTTTGTTTGTTGTTGTTTTGTGTGCGTGTGTGCATGAGTGCGTGTGAACAGTGCGTAATTTTTTACGATACGGATTGGATTTTAGTGATTGTGATTTAATAAGTGCGTTCGATTTTTAAATACGTTCGTGAAAAGGATTTTTTTTTCTTTTTGTAACGGTATTAAGTGTCGCGAAAAGTGTAAGAAAAGTTTTTTTTCTTTTTCTTCTTCGTACCCCTCCCTCCCTTTCTTCCCCCTATCCCCCTTAATACGAATTCGAATTTTTTTTTTAAAAATTTTTGGCGCGAATAAAATCATTTCGTCTCCCTCTCTCGTCACGTGAAAAGTTAAAAAAAATTCAAAAATTTACAAACGTCATTAATCCTCCATTAAAAAGACACGTTCGCACCCCCTCCCCCTTCCACCCTATCACTCCTTCCGGTCCCCGAAAAAAATTTTTTAAAAGTTTTTTTAACGCGAATGACGAATTGTTGTTGTTGTTGTTGTTGGTTAACGAGGGTTAAAAAAAAAGTTTTTTATTATTATTTTTTTTTGCTTTGACGTTTTTTCAACGTTTGATTGATCCCTTTTATTATTATTATTATTATTATCATCATTATCATTATCGTTTAATAAAAAAAATGTCACGCCGACGTTAGTAAATAAGTAAAAGAAAATCATTTTAAAACGCGAAAAAATTCTTTTTAATTATTGTTATGACAATTATTATTATTATCATTATTATTATTATTATTATTATTATTATTATTCGCGTAATTTCTTTTCCGAACCTGGAAAAATTCAATTATAATAATAATAATAGTTATAATGTGCATTTGAAAATAGTGTTAACGTGAATATTTATTTTTGAAAATTTTTTTGGTTACACGTCACGTGGTTTTTTTTTTCTTATATATTTTGTATTTTATTATAATTTGTCATTATCATCATCATTATTATTATTATTATTATCATTATTATTATCATCATTATTATTAATTTACGAAATGATTTAACGGATAATTGGATAATTATTAATGGATAATTGAGGGTAATTATCAAAACCTGAAAGAAAAATTTTTGTTGTTTTTTTTTTTTTTAATTGAAAAAATTATTATTATTATTAGTATTATTATTATTTGTTGACGATTTTTTGCTGCCACGTCAATTCATAATGTCACGTTTATTGAAAATAAATCAAGGAATTAAAAGGAAAAAAAAGAAAAAAATATCAAATGGATGATTGAATGATTGAATGAATAAATGAATGAATGAATGAATGAATGAATGAATGAATGAATGAATTTTATAAATTCGAATTCGAACGACGACGATTTTTATTTTTATCGTGTAAATAGAAAAAAAATAAAAAAATAATAATAATATAAATTTTTTTTTTTGAAATTTTGAAAAATTATCGGTAATAAAAAAAAGAAAAATTCGAAAGGGGGAAAGGTAAAAATAATAAATGATGAGGAAGAGAAAAAGGGGAGGGCGGGGTCGGTAATAATAATAATGATAATAAAAATGATTTTTCATTTATTCGTTTGAATGGGGGAAGGGGGGGGGGCACGGGGTCACTTGGGAAGAAATTTAAAGCGGTCGAAAAAAATTTTTTTTTTGATTTAAAAATTAGGTTTTACCTTAGCGAAAGGAAACAAAATAAACTCGTTCGGTTGTTTGTTTGGTAGTAGTGGGGATGATGATGATGATGATGATGATATGATGGTGGTTACGGTGGGGATGATGATGATAAGGACGATGATGATATTTTTATTTTTTTTATGACGTCATTTCCAAAATTTCTTACGCGTCTTATTTTTTTCTCCTCTCGAGCGTATTATGTTGGACAACCTGATTTTTTTTCCTTCTTTTTTTCTTTTTTATTCGAATTCATTCAAATTCAAGAGGAATCGGATTTTTTATCGGATCCGCATCTGATATTTTTTTTCTTTTTTCTTTTTTTTAAATTTGTTTTTCTAAAATCAAAATTTATCTGGAAAACCGGAAAAACTTATTATCATTATTATTATTATTATTGGAGTTTAAAAAAAAAAAAATGATGATGATGATGTTGCGGATGCTATGAAAAAAAAATTTATAAATTTCGATTTGTAATATTTAAATTTCTTTTCTTTTCTTTTTTTTCCCTTCTTATTCTCATTTCTTTATATTTTCTTCTCCCACGTTTTTTTTCATATATATGAGATTCAGGTTTCGGGTAAATAGTTTTGTAATTTTTTTTTTTCAATGGAAACTCATGGAGCATTTTTTTTTTTTTTTTTTTTTTTTTTTGTGAAAAATGAATGAAAGTTGAAAAAACTTTTCTTTTTTTTTCAAATCATATATTATTTTTAAAATTATTATTATTAATATTATTATTATTATTATTATTATTATTATTATTGATAGATTTTCGAGTATCGAATCGTGGTATCGCATTAACGATAATCGAAATTTACTACGAGTATTTCACGTTGAAAAAAAAATGAAAAGTTTTTGTGCGTTTCAAATTTTGTCATTTGTCTTTTTTTTTTTAAATCGATCGATTGTTGTTTCGATTGTTAAAACTTTTCGAGACTCGTTTTTCTCTCTCTCTCTCTCTCTTTCTGTTTCTATAATATAATTCAAGTGATTGAAGAATTTGTTTAAAATTGTTTTTTTGTTTTTTTGAAAAGTTCACGTTTATTTTTTTTTTATTTTCAAAACTTTTCCTACTATCGAATTTTCCTATCGTAACGTATGTCTTGTCTTCTGCTTTTGTTCTTCACCTTATGTATTCCTTCCACTTTTTTTGTTTTTCCCGTTCCGACAGCCCAATGTCTATTTAAAGTTTCTTTTTATTGAATTTCCTTTCTTTTCTGTTATTGTTATTATTATTATTGTTATTATTATTATTACTACTACTACTATTATTATTATTATTATTTGAATAGATACGTAATGTGATTTGAAAAAAAAAAAAAAAAACATTTTTAAAATTTACGTCGTTTTAAAAAAACAAACTTAAATCGTCTTTTATGTATATAGATATATATATTATTTCTATAAATAAATAAATAAATATTATTATTATTATTATTATTATTTTTATTGCGGAAATGGAAAATTTAAATTTTTTTTTTTTTTATTCGTAACCGTAAATAAAAAAATAAAAAAACCCTTTTCTTTGAAAGACAGGAAATGGATTCTATAAAAAAAAAAATAGAATTTTTCTATTTGCGAAAAAAAAACAGGAGGAGGGGGTAGGAGGGGAACGGGGAGGAAAGGGGAAGGGTAAGGGAAAAGAAAATTTTGAATGAATTTCACACAATAAAAGAAAATACTAAACGATTTGTACGTAAACTAACACAACCAACGGTATTAATATAAATATAAAATTTAAACGTTGGAAAAATAAGATGAAAATTTAATTTATTTTTCAGTAC